TATACCTAATGGTGCCATCCATAGGTTTGTACGTACAGTAATATATTATGTATTAATGCTTTAAATATTTCAACTGGTAAGAGCAGTGATATTTATCAAGGAAAAAGAATCAACATAGCTGCCCTGCTCTCATTAGCACTCACCTATAGTAAACAAACCAGATTTTTTGGCGTGCAATGCCTTCATGAGCAATTAATCATTGTACCAGTAAGATCACGAGGGGAAGCGTAAGTAACAGATTATATTTGTAGGTATGTTGGTAGTGCTCCTCACTTGAATGACTGCGCACCAAGCCTGTACAAGTACTCTGGCTCCATATGTTCTTAGTCAAAGCTGTAAAATTGTTATCTAAATGAAGTGGCTGTAACAAAACAATTCTAATTGGTAGAAGCTGCTGTTAAAGCCTGGCTCAGCCACAGTGAAACATTTTTACTATGGTAGTTATTGTCAATAGAACAAAATGTTCACCTCCCAACATGAACAACAAATGGGGGAGGGTGTGTTCTCTCATTCCTTACATTAAGGTCTGGGTGAAGTCAAACCAAGCAATTGCCTACAGAATCTTTCCAGGGGCCACGCAGTGTGGAGAACAGCTGTGTCTGCGGGCGCACACACAAACCATGCCACCATCTACACACACTAAGATGGCTAACAGGGCTCCAAAGCAGAATCTGCAGCAAGACCCGCTGCAGCAGCTAAGCTAACCCCTGGGATCTCTGCAGCAAACTGAGTGTGCAACAGCCTATGACTCATGCAGCACAACATTTCTCATCTGTCTTATGTGCAGAAATGGAATGAAACCACATCTCGTCTTCCAGGTTGCTGAATCAATCTGAAGCTGGAGAGTCTTTGCAACTCCATAGTTTTAGCCCAGGCCCACAAATGGCCAGCTGACACTCGTGGCTGCACTGCCCTGCAGGAAAGGGAGTGGGAAATGAATGGTGCTTGTTGGCTAACAGATTTTAACTCGGTTGTAATGCCTTATGGCACACACATTTCACTGCTTCCACATCTCTGTTGATGTAAAAACTGACAAACAAATCAGATCATGAAAGATAAAATTTTTAATGTTTATTTTTCAGTGAAAAATACTTTACAAAGAGAAAGAGGTTTCAAAGGAGAAAGAATACATTCTTCAGTAGCTGTTTATTTTCTCATTGAAATCTGAGGCTGGCATTTCCTCCACGGTGTATTTATTTGTTCTCCCAATATTACAGGACCTTTACCTTTTGCTTAAAAAGGATCATCATCCATGAATATTGTTAAGAACTCAATCAGGTAATGCTGTATGTGAAGAATCTCCACAATCTACATAAGCTGTATATGAAGTGCCTTCAGATTTAATTCTTCCCATACTTTGCAGTAACAAATACAAAACATATCTTTTAAACGTCCAAACATTTGAAAGGCTTTGCAACACACACAATGCAAAAACAGAAGTTTAGTATCCCAAAGAGCAGACAAAAATACTCCCACATCCTCAAAGCAACACTGAAGTTCTCGAGGAAGATAATACAATCCCCATCTTTCCACCTAAAGAACACAGAGACATTTATTAAGGTGTTCAGTGCTCGACTGTGACTTTCTCTGCTGCTGTTCTACCACTGGAATGTGAAGATACCCCAACATCAGAGTCTAAATGAAGTGATATGGTTTCACAGTGAGAGTACCTGACCGTTCATAGCTGTCTCTATACACAGACCTCTGCCATTTAACTTATCTTTGCTGACCTGTAAGGGGGTGGGAGAACAGCAAAAGACCAAAACCCTGCCCCTAAAATATCAAGAAATATCATCCTTGCCCACTTAAAGTTTTGCCCTCCATCTCACTTGCAATTTCTGCAAGATGTTTGAAATCACCCTGCCAAGTTTACTCCTATCTCTCATGTACACTTAAAAACAGTTTCAGAAGTATGTTCACAAGATTGAGGAAAAGACTTGAGAGTGAAGTACTTCATAAGAGTAGCTTGAGCAAAAAGCACCTTCACTGCAGCTCAATTCAAAGTGGAGGAAAACTAATCCTAACAGTTTCAGAATTGGCAGACTTCAAAAACAAACCAACAAAAAACAAAACCCAAACTCACAAATCGGGAAGGTCAAATAAATACCTTATTTCATTCAGTACTCCAGCATTTCTATGGCGACACACTTTCAAGTATTTTCATTCAAGGCACTGATTTTTTCCTTCAGTCATCCTGATGCAATGAAAGCCCAGCATTTCTGTCACACTGGGCTGACCTACTGTCCCAGGAGATACTTGATGCTATCCTTGGGGAGCCTGAATTTCACCTTGCTGCAGTTTTCCAACTACCTCATCATATATAGAAGATTTAAATGCACTTATTCTCCTCTAAAAGTGAGACTGGATACATGTGAAGTTAAGTACTCAAAATATAAAAATATTCAGCAATTCTGTTACAGAATCACAGAATATCCCAAGTTGGAAGTGACCCCCAAGGATCATCCTGGCTCCATGCAGGACCACCCAAAATCCAAACTCAAGTCTGAGAGCACAGTCCAAACGCTCCTTGAGTTCTGGCAGCTCAGGTTTGTGCCCACTGCCCTGGGGAGTCGGTTCCAAACCTGACCACCCTCTGCTGAAGAACCTTTTCCTAACAACCAACACATTCAGGACACATTCCTCGAATGGATGGTTTTAGAACACGAATTTCAGTTTCATCAAAAAGCTTAAAAAAGATTTTGTTCTTCAAAACTTAAAACTCAATTAGGAATACTTATATTCCATATTATTGTCTGACTATAGGTTGACCAACAGGTTGACCAGTGAGGTTGTGGATGCCGCCTCCCTGGAAGCACTCAAGGCCAGGCTGGATGGGGCTGTGAGCAGCCTGCTCTAGGGGGAGGGGTCCCTGCCTACAGCAGGGGAGTGGAACTGCATGATCTTAAAGGTCCCTTCCAACCCAAACCATTCTGTGATTCTATGAGATGGGCTGAGTTTCTAAATATTTAGTCAAAAGGAGAAATACACACTGTGGAACATTGCTCTCCTGAGGCACGTTGAGTACATCGCACTGAGCACAGGTAGGTTATGAACACATTTCTACAAGCATCATTTCCTCAGCTCAAAATTGTCAATGTTTCAGATGAACGAGGCAAGACTTGAAAAATTCTTCAAGTTCTTTTGCTTCACCCTAAGCACTGCAGCTGGACAATACGTTCTCTGGTGTGCCTGAAAGCAATGGACCAACAAAGCAGTTCACTGAACGAGCAGGGGAGGGGCAAGGGGTTGGGAAAGGGAATTATCTATCTTGGATCCCTCTATGGAAACAAAATATTGGCTATGTTTCATTCTTGGGGAAACTACTGGAGGAAAAGACAGACACAAAAAACCATAATGAATACCTCCCATAACATTGTGACAAAAGAAAGTAAAATAAGCCAGAAACTCAAGTCATGCCTAGATGTACCAAATACTCAGTAAGAATGAATCGTAATCCTTAAGAAGAGCAAATGATTTTATGCAACAACATCTGCAGCATATAGGAACAGCTGGTTCTGATGGATGGGAGTAGTCAAACTTTGTTATATGAGCAAAATGGAATGTAAAATATTAGAAATATAATTTCTAAATTCATGATACAATGCAAAGACAAATTTGGCAGCCCACTTAAAAAAATAACCAGGGCTCACTTCTGCAATGATTGTGTATATTACCACTGTGACACCTTCCCAGCTAGGGACACAGAAGCTCATTAAATCTCTGATAAACTTTTTACAATTTAAATCATCATTAATTCTGACTACTAGATTTCTGCTACCATAAATCAGTGATCTGAACAGATTCTGTAACTGATGCAGTAGATTTCAGTGCACCATCAAGAAGGGTGGGTGATAAGCTGCTACGTGTGGTACATTTTTCTCAGTCAGAACAATCGCAGCCTGGAGGACACATGATAAACACACACAACCAGCTACAGCATCTCCCATAAATTATACAAAGAAGAAAACTTTGGACTTGCAACACACAATTTATAAACACCCTTCTGTGTAAGTGGAGCTGCAAGGTGGCACTGAGGTAAAGAGCAACAGTAATTCTCAGAAACTGCAGACCATACAGATGTATATAAATCTCTGCTGTTTTCTGCTGAAGTGTAAGCCATTTAAAACTAGTTATATGATTAATTACTCTGCAAAGTCAAACATTTAAGCTTCCATGTATGTAGGAAACCTTGTTAGGATCGAAAATTCAAGACAATTTGAAACTGTGGCCAAGAGTACAACACTCTTTACTAAATTAATAGCCAATAATTGAAGGAGCAGAAAGGCATGCCCCTGTCACTTCATTCTGATCATCTCCCTCCTGGAAGCAAGGGATTAGGAACAAGTTATTTCGTGATGCTCTCACAAGATGTAGTTTTTCCATAGTTTGAATGACAAGATTTGTTCACTGGAATAAAACAAGTGGATTAAGAATACATAGACATGCACCTTTTCTCAGCTGAGCAGATCAGGCATTCACATGACACTGCAAACTACTCTCTGATGTATTACTCAGCTGGTCTGGATTTGCTTTGTATCACATTACCACAGCATTACACAAGCACAATGCCCTACAAGTGGAAGACATGAGGGAGGCAAAATGTGAACTATGAAGAGGTGCACCAATAGAAAAACCCAAAAAGGCATAAGAGAATCTAATATAAAAAAGAATGAACATAAAATGCATGTCCATCAATGCCAGGCTTAGGCAGTCAGCATTCCTCCTCTTCTTTCAATGGAGGGGAACAAACTACAGAGAGATGTTACTGAATTCAAACAATGTGAAAAGCTACGAGAAGACATTACTCTTCTTCTTTGAAATGACATTCTCTTTCTCCTAGTGAAATTAAAACTGTAATTAAATACAAACATCTCCTGGAACTTTTAACATGTTCATCCACAAACAAAAGCTGTTCTAGGAAAGCAAACCCTAGAACTAAAAACTGCAAAAGCCTCAGAACTTGCTTCTATTGTAGAATGCAAGCATGACCAATATTCTTCAGAGATTTGCTACAGTAATTAACAAATTTATTAAGGTCTGATGCAAAACCTATCAAAATCAGTGAGAAAACACGACGTGAAGAGGCTCTGAATTACATACTGTCACTTGAAGTTCAAAATCTGGGAGTGCTGAGCCATATCAAACTACTGGTAATTTACAGTTTTTACATCAGGAAATACTACAAGCTAAATTGCCATACAAAGAGATAGCAGCCATCTGATTTTTCAGTATTTAGAGACAGAAATCAAATATCCTATTTTTTAAAATAATATTTTAAGGATGCTTTCTGGTAACTGAACTGAAATTTCTGCTGCTTGTACAAGCTACTGTTTCCCTGTCTGGTAACATCCATAGCACTTATTGCTTTAGTGTAACAGCACCCTGTACCCTGGAGAAAGCAATGGAAACAGCATCCCTTTTGCAGGATAAAAGTCAACAACATAAGCTCTTAAAAAGCGTGTTATGCTAATTATAGAGTGTTCAAATGTCTGTTCAGCTGATGCCGTGAGTGAAACATAAGTAGGGACTCGGTGAGTTTGTATGCTATTTCCTGGACAAACAAAATAGTGTCAGGCTTAATACGACAGATGCCAGTCATAGTGAACACGCAGAGTGAGGAGGATCAGAACAACCCCAGTAACTTCAACAGGGAGAGCTGGAGCATGCTGATAATCAGCTGCTCCTAAGACAACAAAGGAGAATTATTATAGCAGTGTCCCTGTGTGATAGTCATGAAGGCATCAGGGTAAGAAGGTCTCCCTTTTACTCTGAAGGGGGTTAGGACTTACAGGATGCAGGTGGGGAAAGCGTTTTGTGACATCCACCTTTTCTTTAAATAACAAGACAGATGTATTTTTGAGATGGTCTCACACACCTTCTGCCTCTTTTAGCACAGCCATTACACTGCAGTAACAGGGAATGTACTAACAATGGCAGGAATTTGGTATGTCCCCAGTTTGTGTTGGATACCCTCCTTGTTTATATAGGATCCACTCAACTGCTGCAAGACATCGACTTAAAAGAGCAATAAAATAATCAATCACATATTCCTACCGTTTTCCTTGAAATACAATTACTTCAAATTTGGCTATGACTAAATATTTAAAGGTCCTTTGAACTCTGAGCCTGGATGTTAGCTGGATCGTATGCAACAGCTTTCCCAGTATCTACTACCACTCACTTCCATTAAGTTTACAGTGGTTCTGAATGTGCTTACTACGTACAGTAACTACAAGGGGAATCCTGGAAACAAAAAACATAAGACCCTTAAGCACAACTTGATAGATACATGTTTAGATAGAAAACATATCTGCAATACTGTATTTCAGCATTACACACTGAACTTAAATAAAGTTAAGAATACATGGCCTTTCCCTATAGTAATATTTTAATTAAAAAAAATGTGATTTAGATTGCATTTGTGCAGCTTTTTTTCCTGAGTTTGAGAATAGAAGGCAGAATTTTATGATCCTTTTCAACTGAAAGACATTCTTTTTCTCTGATTTCCAATTAAAATTATTTTATATTGGTCTATCTGCTGAGTTACATTCTCAAGGTAACTTTTAAGAGTTCGATGTGTTATTCTGAACTTCTGAAACTAACACTTGGGCTTTTTTAGTAAGCAGCAGAAAAGCTGTGATGTCGCTGGAAGCTGAGCTAAGGTTTCCTGGTTACCATCCAAAGTTAGATAAACACCAAAAGAAATCTGAAGGGGTTGCAATAAAATGTAAGAAATGTTAAATGCACCAAGCAATTTCTTTAGCTTCATCCTTCCAAGGCATTTGCAACCTCTGAACAACGTAGCAAAGCTCTATCCTTCTTCAGCATGGCATATGAGACTGTGAGGCTTACCCAAAGGGACTGAAAGACTGAATTACAAAATGTGGCTTTAAAAAAGCAAGCAAACAAAAGAAACACAAGAGAAGTAACAGTTCAGTCCTTGCCCTGCTGACAGGTGGTGAGATAATCGCCATTTCTGCTACTACACAGAACTCAGAGAGGCTGGCACTTCAACAGAAGGAAAAAGCATATTAACCTGTATGGTCCCCCAAAACAAAAGTCCCTCGAGTTCATGACCAAGATGTCAGTCAGCTTTTAAGAAACATCAACAACAAATCATACTGGGGAATTACTGACAGGAGTCAGGAACCATGATGACTGCTTTAGAAAATACCACATAAAAATTGTTCCATGACCACACTTCATTCTATGTGCAAAAATAACTATCTTCCAACTTACCAACAAATTCATCTCAGAACTGATCCTCATAATCAAAGCACTGACCCCAGCCCAGCTGCCACTTAGGCACTGTGGAAACCCTTCCAATTTGGGTCAGACACTCACCTCACACATCCTCCTGTATTCTTGGTACTCGCTATGGCAAATTGATCAAATTTTTTCTGCAGAACTTTTAAGCACCAAAAGCAGAGTTCTGGAGCACAGCTTCAAAGCATTTTGCTCGAAGATGAAATCACCAGCTCTCTAGCAAAATGTCAGAAGCTCTAGACATGGTATTGTCACGTGCATAGCTCTGATTCAGAGGCCACCGTAACAAATGAGTGTGTGGACAAACAGTGACTTCGAAAAACTCTGAACTGGGCTTCAAGAAGGAAGTATTACTCTAAGTATTTTAAGTTTGCAAGAAAGAAGTCTTCAGTCAATGTTTTACATTGAAATTTTAAAAGTGAGAAAGTGATTCACTTGCTTGAAATGGTTGACATTTAATTTTTGCAGTTTAGATAATCAAACGTTTTTTATCACTTACCATAAAATGTAAGTCAGTACATATTAGAAAGACTCCAGCATGGTTTTATGATTTTTTTTTACAAATATACATATACATCAGAGAGGCACATTCTTTGTTAGAAATGAGTGTGATTTTTTTTGGAGGAACTTAAACGCTTCCTGTCACAGGAATTTTTCCATGAAGCTGTGCTCTTCATATAAGGCAATCAGACAGAGCTAAGAAAAACAATCAGCTTAAATAATACTAGAGCTACACTTAATTTAAGATCTATTTTCAAAACACACGTGCCATAGATGCTGTTCAGAAAAACAAGCAAGATGCTTCTTTTGCAGCCTTAAGAAAGAAACCTCGAGTTTTGACATTCTCTTACAATTTAAGGGCACAAAAGGAATCAGTAACTGTTAGTCTGAAGTAATCCAATGTACAGCACAAAGAACTTCTTACAGTAACATCACAAAGCAGTCTTAACTCTTTCAAAATGACCTGTTGCTCATTCCTTAGAACAGCGCACATCCCATATATTCACAATTGGCAACAGAGTCTAGAGCATTACACCATCATTGCTGCTACTGTAATGAAAGGAAATGAGGTTCTGATTACAAATTTTCCCATTAAACTAAGAAACTCTACTTCATTTTACCAAGCACTAGTTAGTTATAAACGAATGTGTTAGTTCAACTTGAGTCACACCGCCTTGGTTTGTACTTCCTATCTGTAAAGGCTGATTGAATGAGATTCCTTTCATCAGGCAGGCACTGCTATCTTTACTGCAATAGTAGAGGCACGCTTTGATAGCCAGCACAGCTTCGGCTGATAGACAGACTCTTGGTAGCTGAAAGGGAATGACAGTTTGACAGGAAACATCCTTAATTTCTCCAGACAGATACTGTCCTTGAAGCAGCCATGTATTATTACCTGCAAAAGAAGAACAACTTTTATCGTTAGGATATTTAACACCATATCTGAAAGCAATAGAGAATGCTAGTTTTACCTGTATGACAACATGGCCTTTCTTTACAATTTTATAAGGATGGAAAGATCCAGAGCTTTGCTTCACAGCTATGGAAACTCTTCCTATTGTGGTACATGTACAGTACACCTTTGTTAAACACAGTGATCTGCAGTTTGTCCTATAGACTCTTCAGAGGATATTAAGATATAAATTTTTTCTGAGATACACAAGCAAAACTCCTTAAATTAGTGGGCTGTTACACGATTTCATCAGAGGTCTAATACTGCAGGTAAGATAACTGCCATGAACGCACAGAACTGCAGGTACTTTATGACATTTCCAAACAGAAACGCTGGCTTTACGAGCGCTATGCTGAAATTTACCAACACAACACAGTTACAACACAACTGGAGTTTCACATTGATTTAAATATTGAAAAGTGTGTGAACTTAAAAAGCAGCTCTACAATCAGCAGTCACTGCATTGTTCTCTGCATTTCAGACTGCAGTGGGACGCATGAAGTGCTCCTTCTGGCATTTTTCAGAGAACACATCAAAGCTGCTCTGGAAGTTACAAGCTTGCAATGACTTCTCATTGAGGTGAAGTCACTCAACTTCCTCCAGTTTCACAAATCCTCCATCACTAATCTGATGTAGATCCCCACCTCGACAATATCTAGAGATGCTGCAGGCAGAAAGGTTTGCTGACTGTCCTGGAGATATTCTATTTGTTCTCGAAAGGCACAAACTGTGGTGAGAAATTACCTGAATTCATGAGGTATATCCACAGATTGTGGTTGCTGTACAGTATTTGTTGAATGCTTCTACAAACAATGAATTTAATTAAGCTATCACACGGACAGTCTGACACTTTGAAAGCTGGCCAAAAAACCATGAGTCACAAAATGAGATGTTTAGTTTCAGATCACTTTAATTGCATCTACAAGCTGTAATGACTATTAATATGTATTCATCATTGTAAAAGCCAACAAGGCACATAAATTCAGGCTGAGAACAGTTGCTAAAACTCAGCAGAATTTCAGAAAAAAATGACTTTTCAATGCAGTGAAATGGGCAAAAATAACTGAAATACAAATGTTCTGTTCATTGCTTCTAAAATTTGACAAGGAAGCTAAAAAAAAAGTTATTCTAGGTCTTTTTGTTCTTTTAAACTGTTTAGCAAGGTTTGTTCTACAGTATAAAGCCTTAGTGGATATTTTAATAACTTACTCCAAGAGGTAACAGCTCTCTGTACATCACTGACTTCTAGAGTGTAAAAACAAATGCGTTCATATCACATCATCTGAGCAGTAAATGTCATCCCTTCAACTCCAAGAACACCAGCTCATGGTGGCAGCCTTACTTAAGCGCACAACACCTACTATAGATACTGCTTAGAAACACAGGTATTTCAGAGAGATGAATAAGTTAAACACATCAGACTTAAAGCAAATGAGCCGTATCTGAATAAGTCAAGAGCGAGGCAAAATGGTGTTAATATATAAAGAATGTGAAAAACCACGGGTTATTTTGTTTCATATGGTTGTCTTTCAAATGGTACTTGGTTCTAATGGTACTTCATGGAAGATTTTACTTTGCAATGGGGCTTCCAAGGGCACTGACAGATATTCCCTTCCGAGTGCAGCTGGAACACTGGAAAACATTGTCTCCAAGCACTCACTAATGGTCACCCTTTGCGAGAAGGTTTTTCAGATAACCTTACTATTTTTGTACCAAAGGGAATTTCAGGGAACACGCTGACACACTCTAGTTACCAGTCACAACTATGGACAAAGCAGAGTCCAGAGTAAGGATGGTAATGATGGGTACAATTAAACCATTTCAGTCACATGCAATATGAACGTGTTCCATGTGCTCCTTTAAATATTTATTGAGAGAGATTAATTTAGACTCAGCACTCCCATTTCATAGTAACCAAGATGTGAAATTCCAGTGCATCCAAAGTCACACAGAAAGAACCTCCAATAAATGTCAGTAATTTCTGCTTCCTTGACATACCAAAATTTATTTCTGATATAAGGTGTGCCTTGTTATAGAAATACTCAAGCACAAATAAACAACCAGGAATTACAACAAAGTCAGTTCAAAATGGTTAGGTGCAAATGTACCTCCATTTCTGAAGAGACAAAAGGAAAAAGTGGAATTTTATTCTGGAATATGTTTCAGCTTCTCGAGAAGCTTTCTGCCACAGACAGGCAGTGAGGCTGAGATGAGCCATTCACAGAGAGAGTAAAGAGGGCAAGCATGTGAGAAGGAAAAATCTGAACTGTTCTGGGAACAGCACCTCTGCACGCCCTCACTGGCTGCTTGTTTCAAGGAAGTTTTACAAGAATTACTGCAGCGTGCGTTAACTCAAGCAAAAACCTTCTGGGCTTCTGCTGTACCAAGTGCTTTATTTTTTTTGCTTAGTTGGTTTTTGTTTAATTCTTCCCACTTCGATTTTCAAACGTAGCAACTCTAAATGGCATTTAGCATATCACGATGTAAGTAATACAGCAGACTGGGAGGGACGTTTTGGTTCATCAGCCTGAGATCCCACGTATTATATACATGCACATAAAGACAATATCTACTTCTCTTATCTACTCCCATTCAACCGATAAAGCAACGTAAGCTCTTTACCTTCTGCTGTGATAAACCAGGCATTAGGTGCTTCTTCGTTCAATTCTGAATCTGGAGGGAGAGTCAACTTCAATAGAAACTGAATGGTCTGACCGGGAGCTGCACTCAGCGAAGGAAGCTGAATGTTTGGAGCAGATTTAGGCAGTTTTGGAAGGTTTGCAGTTTGGTCCTTTTGTGCAGCCGGATGATCTGTAACATCGCAGGTTTCTGGATTCAGGATAGGCAACTACCAGCAGAAATCAAAATATTAATTTTCCTTCGAATTGGTACAGCAAGTAGGCTTTCAGAACACAGCCTCACTTTCACAGCTGACACAGACTAGGAAAATTAACACATGACAATACAGCAACTGCACTCTGAGAGTCTGATAGATGCAATAATACTGCAGTGACAGGTGGAGAAAAGGAAGGGCAAAATGACTTCTTAAATTAAAAGGATGAAACTGATTGATCCCTAGAAAAATGTCTGCTATTAAAATCACAAAATCCGTACCTGTTTTACCATACCCACTATTTAATTGAAATTTTTAGCATTTGCCTTCCATTGTTATTTTAAATAAAATCTGGAGATATTTTCTGCTGATTGGGTGCTAACTGTATCCTTTGGAAATAAAATCCAAGAATCTAACTCTGCAGATTATACAGCAAAGTAAACAGCAATTTCCAAGAAAATGAACCTAGATGTTACATGGCATGAAAATTTAAACATACATTAAGATTGCATACTGTGAAGTGCAAGAAACTTACAAGAAAACAGCAGGACAGCTACATCATATATTTATGAGAACATTAAAACCTGGTGCCATTATAAGATGGACAGCAGTGCAAATCTGTTTTGCTTTCATGCTTACAAGCACACCGAGCACTGCTGGATTTGAAAGTGGATTTCATTTGGCAACTTGAAAGCCCCAAATAAGGAAGACATGAAATTCTGCACAGCATACACTAAAACTTCATGCTTGAAGTAAGTTTGGACGTTCAGCACCATAGCATTAAGTAAGCAGTAATTAAGACATCACAGAATGCATTTTTGTCAAACTTGGAAGAATTTGGATCTACAGACTTGTAGTTTTGGAAGTACAGGAGAGTGACAACAACAATCTTGCTCTCCCCACAGCAGTTATGTTACAGAAATGTTTGTTGACTTTTCTCTCCAGATAGCTGCAGCAAGTTACTGTTTCTGTATTTTATTTTCTCAACACTGTGCAAATTTTGGGGTATATTTATATATCAGAAACACAGATGCAGAAGTAGAGACAACAGTGTTAACAAAGTAGGATCTGTTACAAACACTGTGGTAAGTAAGAAAAGTAAGCTATAAAGTAAGCTATAGCACAGTAAGCTACACAGAAATACACAAAGCACACAGGGTGAGATTTGCTCTGCTGTACAACAGTTTATGCAGTAGAAAATGTAGAATAGCTGAAATTTGGCAAAAATGCCACCTCAGATTGCCATCTTATCTTTGGGACAGACTATGTACCGCACCTCAAGTCAATGGTCTCCACAAACCACACCTTATGCCTTAATTAGAGGACCTGGTCATTGATTTTAATTCCACTCGTTATTAATGGAATTGCTGTTGCTTACAAAATTTTCATACTGAAAAACTGGGCTACACTATTTAATAGCTCGTATTTCAGCATTATTATTACTTAATAGAGGATAATCACTGTTTTCATGCAAAAGATGGCTTTCCAAGGACCAGCACTTTGAACAAAGATGCTAACAGGTGATGCTTGTTTGTCAGATCATCACAAAGCATTACGTGAATAAGTTACCAACAACTTTATTAGCTAGACGTTTTTTATGCCATTTGCCAAAGCCTGGAATAGTAATTCACACCAAGAAACACCACTCTCAGGCTGTTTAATAAATATTACTTGCCATGGACAGAATTTTTGTTTCCAAATCCAGCACTTTAATCTGGTGATTATTTGTGTCTGCAACATACATCAAACGGCCATTTTCTTCAACGCACAAACCTCCTGGTTCATTAAAAGTCGACTGTGTAAAGCTGGAGCCAACAACATTGCTTGCTTCTCCTGTGCCTGCCAGGGTAGCACAGTTCTTCATTTTGGGATCTACAACCTTAATCTAAGATTTAAAAAAAGATCAGGAAAAAAATTCCACTTTCTGAAAAAGAAACACGAGAATTCAGACATTCTGCATTATATTATAACCCACATCTTCAGGAGACAGTGCTAAACTTGCTTCTCGTAGCTAACAAGCGTGTGTCCTAGAAGACAGGTTATCATACTTTACCAAAAGACATCTCCCTCCTTTCTTCCTGGACTTCATTCAGTTTTCTCCACTTAAGGCACCTATCCCTTTGGTATAAGCATACGCTGAACAGCTTGTTTTTTTCTAGTATTTGTTGCCGTTGTGAAAACATTTGCAAAACAGTAAGACAACAAAACTGGGAGGCAGACTTTTAAACATGTTTTTCTAAAAATGGACGAGTTACTTTTTTTTTATTTAAAGTAATAGCAAAAAAGTTAATCACGTATAATGCTTTAAACAAAATCGCATCTGCACCCGAAATCTTAATGAGTGTTTACTGATACCTACCTTAGTCTTCAGGTAAAACAAATTACTTGCCTTTAATGCAATTAATCAACGTACAGCTAGAAACTTTATGAAAGCTTACAATGTCATGTGAAAGCAGTCATATAAAACAATGTCTCGTCTCTGAATTCCAAGGGGTAATTCAAAACATGGGTGGCTTTTCTGAGGAAAGAGCCAGTCCTCTTGCTCTCCCAGTTTTATCAAACCTGCAGTATCCCTGAATAAACACTCCTAGCTGTTTTGCCGTAGTTCACCATCTTTAGAAAGATATAAGGAATGAGTCTTTAGTTAGAATGGTAACTTGGCACAAAACTGACCTTCCTCAAGGGGCCACCATATCAACACAGCAGCGTATGGCAACAACATAATGGGTAAAGAGGACTTACAAAGGAAGGAAGGAAGGGAAAAGAACCCACAAAAGAACTCTTATCGTTTGTTTCTTCAGCTCAACCAAGCACAATCTTCATACGTTCTGAAAATAATTTCTTACAGTAGTAAAGATTGTGAAGAATTGTGAATTGTGTACCTATCAAGCTACTACATGCTTACCTTATGATTATAGGAATCCGCCACATATAGCAGCTTTCTTTTCTTGTCCCATGTTATTCCTAGGGGATGCTGCAGCTTGGCATTTATGCCTGCTCCATCCACATCACCAAAGGCAAACAAATTCTGAAGATGTTATCAAATGAAATTATTTGATTATTCAATGCTGGTATTAATTTAAACTGTTGGAATTAAATGGAAATTCACTGACAAAAAAAAATATCATGACAACTTCAAAAAAAGGATACTGAAAACGAGGAAGCAAGAATGCTAATGATGGAAATGGAAATTATCACATTTAAATTATCAGTATGAATCCAGCTGGCTTTAACGACCACGCAACGCAGTTTCTGTTCAACTATCTTACAAACAAGTCAAGTGATTTTGTATCTGAGGAGCAACAGTCTGCACTATAACCTGAGCACCACCACTGGCACACATTTGCATTCCAAGCAGTGAAGTTAAGAAACTGACGGCCACAGAAACTAATTTACCCTCTCACCCCAAAAGTGGTTCCTCCAGGTCAGGCTTGAGAAATATTAGTAGGGCAGTGTGGGGAAGTTTGAAGTGATTACCAATGGATCTCTCTCTCCTCCTACAAGGTGCTTCACAGCTCCATCTTTCAGAGAGATCATTCGCACAGTGCTGCTCTCACTGTCTGCTACAAAAAGGCAGTTCCACGGCTCTTCGGAAGCCAGAGAGAGTCCAGAAGGCTGTGCAAAGCCGGCCTTATGAGGGTATGCATTGTTTCTGTTCTCTTCATTTCCACTCCCAGCAAATCGAAGACAGACTCCTTTCTTTAAATCACTGAAGAAAAATAGCACTTATCTTCAGGAACAAGTCTGACATAGTTCAGACGTTATGCAGAAACACAAAATACAGGAAGAGCACTTGTAAGTTATAAAAACAGCTCCACTATGACGGCATAAGGAATTACTCAAAGGCTTTATGCTATCTTTTAATTCAACTTGGTTTATCACTCACCACTAGATAATTCAAATGGAATGAAAAGTAACATTAAAATGTACAACTGTACCTTACTGTCATAGAGCTTTTTAGCAAAGGTAGTGTATTTCATTTCCTCTAACAGATGTGGGTAAAAGCACACAGCCATTAAAGGACACAAGCCTTTTCACTTTGAACAGCAGTAGCAAGCTTTAAGCTAAGTTACAGGTTGAGCTAAATTACTTTAATTTAATCAATTTATCTGTCTCTTTAGGGTTTGAAGGCTAGTTATCCAGACAAACAGCAGTTTCACATGTCTCCTACTGCAACTGCTTACCTTCCCTTTGGAAGTTTTCCACCTTCCAACATCAGTGCCCACACCTGATGAATGCCTGCCATTGCTATCCATAAAACATCGTCCTCCTGGGTCCCTGAAACTTAAAAAAAAATGGATATATAAGAACAGATGAAAAAGAACCAAAAAACAAAAACCACCCTTTGTAAATGAATCATAAAACAAACAAGCCAACAAACCAATCCTGCCATCCCCATTGTTCCAGCTCACTGTTTGCCACAGGGAAAAACAAAAAACAAATAAACAAGCCACAGAGCAAGAGAGCAAGAGAATGTCTTTCATTTACCAAGAAATCTGCTACTGTTCTTACATTCTCTTCCCAAGGATATAGAATTATGTTTTTAATATCTCTACCTGGTAAGGACAATACTTCAAATGGGATTTGCTCTTTGGAAGGTTCTGCTATTGGGTCCATGTTTCACCTGTCATTTTGGGACTGTATGTTAACACATGTGTTTTTCCTGATCATGGATTTCAGGGTGGTGGTTTTTTTGTTTTGTTTTAAACTAAGCTAATGGCCAAATTAGACACAATCAAAAGCTATTCATCATTGTTTACAAGCCTTGAGAGGAATAACAAGGAAAGCACCTTTCAGATCAAATGCTCATGTTAATTCCTGGTCAGTTATCCTGAAAGTTCAGATATTCTCACTGTGTTACACTTAACAGTCCCACTGAACCCAGTGGAGCACTAATGACAGTAAAGACAGGGTACACAGTGTTTTTAACATAACGCAAACTGACGCTGTCCAGTCTCCAAGTTGTTTTCCCTGTGCACACACACATTATTGCACATAAAAGATGCAGAGCTATGGAACAGTGATGTTCTGATCAAGCATATATCAAGCATCTAATTTTTTCCAACACTAATATTCACCAGTCTATATCTATAAAATCAAACAAAGCTCTCCTAGATAATATCACAAATAAAACAACAGAAATAGAATATTCAAGTGCTCTCTAGCTCAAAATATGTCACATTACATAAGAAATAACATCAGGTTAAAAATTAAAATGAACTACTACCTTATCAACAGAAAAGCACTTCTAAAAGGCTCACAGATACTTTTTAACACATATGAGCTTATAAAGCAACCTCCTTCTCACAGCTATTCCTGCAAACAACCTCTTGGACCAGCCCAGGTTCCAAAACAAAGGCAATTATATGTGAAATGCTTGCCAACATCTTAGATCTGTGAAGCTAGTCCAAAGCAATCTTTTAAAATGAAATTGCCACGATTGCCCCAATTGATATTCTGCTGCTGTTCCTTCAATCCTAAATCTTTCTTTGCAATGCAGACTGCAAGCAGAAGAAAACAGCACCCCATCTTCAGCATCAATCTGCTCACTGTGAGCTCTCTTAGGAGTAGCACTGGTACGACTGCAATGCAGTTTTGGTTCAGCCTTTCCTATTGGATGAAGATACAAGTTTCCAAGACGGTGATCAAAGGAACTCTGCTGACTCTCTCCTGCACTTCCACATAGCTCCATGTTTTTTACTCAAAGCGAAGTTCCAAGAATAAAAGTCAGACTTCCAAAATACCTGAATGCTTTTCGATGAGACGGAATGTTTGCAACATCAGTTGGAAATAAACATTTTGTCACTCATCAGAGACAAATGCTTTTTACCAAAGCACTGGCAATACAGTGCCCTGCCCCACACACCTAACAAAACTCCCCAAAACACAGAATCCCCTTTGGTTCCAGCATGTTTCTAAGAGATTGAATTGAGAAAATGACTAAGGAAACATTTTACTACTTCCTATAAAGTGCATGATCTACTTCCAGGACTTTGTGTCTACGCTGTACAGTTTGCACTTTTCAGGTGCTACAATTTTGAGGACCCCAGAGGGATGCTAAAATCACTGGTCAACTCCAAAAGCAAGCTTTACATCTTGCTGTGCTGCACTCTGCATTCTGAGGGGTGTAGAAAACAGCTTTATTCATTACTTAATATTCACTTCACCCAACAATTAAATGAAGGAGGAAGACTAGAGATGAGCATTTCAGAAAATTCTATTCTATAAAATCCAATTTCTGTAATTCCACCCACTGCTGCTCCCCTGTGACAGCTATAAGGTTTAAACATAAAAAAGTGCCTTACACTAATTCTGCACATCAAAAGGCTCATCAAACATGAGACGCAGGAAAAAAAAGTATAAATATTAATTTCAAATTTTACAGAATATGCAAGATCAACAGAGATAGGATTCCTTCTTCATCTGGAGATCAAGAGAGGAAATGTAAATAAGAACAACAAGAAGCAATCACTGGAACAAATATTTTCTTCTGGACAGTAGTTAAAACAAATGGAATGGATAAAGCACAGTAACAGCACAAACACACCGAGTTGTGGAAAATATGTCAGAGATTTAATAGGAATAAAAATTACAGAAAACCAGAAAAGCAAAACCAATGCCAATGGCCACACAGAAAACATTTTTTTTTAAACAAGGTGGTCCTGACACTACAGAGTTCAATGTTATACGTTATGAAATGGAAACAAACAATCAAAAAAACCTCAGACTCTTCTTTGAGGATTAAGCATTTTAGGGACACAGCACCACTGTCATCCTTGTACTGTTCTCACAAGAGGAGGCAACTGGGGAGAACTGCTTGCTGAAGTGATGATAATGCCAACATTGCCATAACTCCTTATCATCCTTGATTGGAAAGAATTTACTTTTAAAGAATTTATTATAAAACAACATAAAAGAACAAAGCAACTCTTTTACATTTATTCAATTAAGCACATTCCAAACTATCTCGAGCTGCTCTAAAAGTCCAGTGTAGTTTCTCCTTATTAGGGTATGTACTTTCTTATCTTTAGTGCTGCCTGTATCAAAGCAGAGTATGGCTTACTAAAGTGATATACTTACATTATAAAGATTCACTCCTAATAAACTAGAGCTCTGAATGCATTTGTGTGATGTGGTATACGATATTTCAGTGCTTTTTAGTTCCTGAGTCTGCCTGTGCTACATATCTGTGTTTTAAGAACTCATAATCCTGTATGTACACACACTCAATTTTAAATAGTTTAGGAATACTGCTGACCTTTTAAAGACACTAATCTGAACACACCAAACGGACTGTCTGTTGTAGCAGGCAACACCTACTTGAAGAGATTCCATTCCCAGGCCTGCCACACACTTCCAATTGCCCCTGTGGGGACTTCTTGCTTCCTTTCAGTTTGGGAATCGAAAGTCTGGAAATCAAAGTCACATCTCACAGCTGGCACCACTGGTATTTTCTAAACAGACTGAAGTTTGAAAATATAATTTGCGTCAACTAATGTTATCTTTTAAAAATGCAACAGTAACCAAGAAGATTGTTGGTATGATCATCAGGCACAAAACCCCCACAGGCAACAAGGGCTGATCAATGGCCCCCTCCTCTTACAGGCACACATGGTGCATTTGCATGCATATGGATATAAGTCTTGTCCTCATTGAAGCCAGTGGAAGTTTAGCACACTAAATCCCAATCTGACTAATACAACGGCTAGAGAATCACTGTTCTTTTTCCAGTGAGACAGAGACAGCAAGTCGCAGAAACAAATGCCTTAGCACTCTAAGTCTGGACACACACATCATTCCTTTTGGAGGAGGAAAAATTAGTTTTCCTTTTTTCCATGCTTTTTTTCACATACTTCTGTATCATGCAAACAGCATGATCTTTCATGAAACAAAATGCATTTAGAATTTTCCTCCTCAGTAAACGACTCCTAACCTCTAATCAAGGGAAATCCATGCACATGAATAGCAAGTGGATGCTGAACTTTGAGAGATAAAAGAGAACTAAAAATAACAGCTATGATCTGACGGCATTTTTAACACCAACAAACTAATTTAGATTATCTACTGATGGATACAATAACATAACTACGAAAAAGCTAAGATTGGTTACATGTTTTATTCATTCTTGTCAGAGAACAACCACATACACTCAAGCTTAGGCCAGTACTGCATTCCCCCTCAATGAACTTCCCACATTGAAAAGTGCTTTCAGCATCAAAGCAGGCAAGCTCAGAAGCCACTCATCCTGACCTAACATGCTCATCAAAGCCTCTGTAAGATTTGTCAGGGATGTTCATTTTCAGCAGATCTTCAGCTGGAACTTAACATCAGAAACAGTATCCAATGCCGAAGAGTGTTCAGGCATCTGACCAACAGTTCTAACATTTTTCTAATTCACAAATAAGACCTGCACACTGCGGAAGGAAGAAACCGTATAACCAACATTACAGGTACAAATATCATAATTTATAACCAACATTACAGGTACAAGTATCATAATATACAAATATACAGAGGGCACTGAAAAGTCATGGAACTGAAGATATTACTGAGCTATCTGTTCAGATGGTATCTGCTAAACCAAATGTTTCTTTTGCTATTGAAAATCATCATTATCCATTTTGTCAAGATTTAGAAAAGTCTTAATAGAAAATAAGTCTGTCAAAGTAAATTATATAGGATCACCAGCGGAAATCCAGTCACACCTCCCATTCAGATGTTATGTTCATCTCAAAGGCGTGTTATATTAATACCAGTATCTATTTTCTTGCCCTAAATCTACAGTGAATATGTAAAATACTATTGAAGTCTATTGGTGTTACTATTCAGCAGTACCATAAACTCTTTAATCACTTCAGAACCATTCACAAAGAGATTTAGGATCTGGTTTGAGAAGACTGACAAAGCTGTCTCATGTCAGCAATGTTTCTAACGTGACTTTCTGTGTCGTTCATGACTAGAGGGGCAGCTGATGCCCAAAGCTGGCTATAGGTATCTCTGAGCTGGTACTTTGCACTGGAAACCTCTGAAGAGATGAGAAGGCCTTCTGTGTTTCAGCTAAGTCCTCACTTATACATCATGCAGTCATATCATATATGCAAGATACATTTAGAGCAATTCAAATTTGAGTCATCAAAAGAAATGATTCCTAATTAAAGCCTGATGAAGGAGCCCTTTAATTTCCATAGCCAAGGAAAATTCCACAAGACAGTGGAGGCTAGAGCCTGGATGCCAGAATGAGACCGAACTAAAAGGGAAAAGAAAACTGACATGCAGAAAAGCAT